CTGTAATGCGCCGGCACTCTACCCAGGGGGACAGCTTGAGGCTCTGTCTCAAAAAAAAAAAAAAAAAAAAAAAAAAATTAATTAATTAATTAAATAAAATTATTGCTATAAAAAAAGAAAAGAAAAGAAAGGAAAGAAGAAAAGAAAAGAACTTTCATACTTGGTCTACATCTTGGCTTTGTCACTTACCAGCTGTATGATTTTGGGTGGACCAATTAATTTCATGAGCTTCATTTTTCTTTTGTTTTACTCATTTAAATAGGTTTAATATTAACACCCACGTCCTAAGTATCATGACAGTTAATGAGAGGGTGAATGTAAACACATGATAAGAACCCAGGGAAGGAGACTGTTTCCCACCTCCTTCTTTTCTGGCTGACCCATTCCCCAGAATTCAGGAGCTCACGGTGTCCTCCTCGAAGCCACCAGCTTGAGCAGTGGGGATAGAGAAGAGCTATTTTGTATGTACCTGTTCCAATGATGGCACTGATGTTGTATGACTTCCCCAAAGTTTAGGAGGTTCCCAAGCAGCTGCAGGGAATGAACTGCAAAGCCGGGGGAAAAACTGTTTCTGGGTCTTTTCCAAGGATCCCTGAGGAGGTACAAAATTGTTCTCCTGTTTCCGTCCTTGGTAAGTCCCTCAGAGTAACAGCTCTGGTGCAAGCAAGGAACTTCCCTGAATGTCCCAAACAACCAAAGGACAAGCCTGCACTGAGATGATTGTAGAACACTGAGGCTGTATTAGGTCATCAGAAACAACCATGATTTGCAGAGTAGATAGGGTTGCCAGATTTAGCTAATAAAATACAAAATGCCCAATTAAATTTGAATTTCAGAGACACAAGAAAATACATTTTTTTAGCATTTATTATGCCCCGATACTGCGTGAGATATACTTACATGAAAAGTTTTTTTTGTTTGTTTGTTTACCTGAAATTCAAATTTAACCTGGCTTCCTGTATTTTATCTGGTAAGTCTGAGAAAACAGCTGGGTGCCAAGGGGAAAATCAATTTGCTGGGGTCACACAGCAAGCCACATCTATTGTGCTGCCCGCCCCACAAACACACCCGAGCTTTCTTTGGTGTTTTAATTAAGGTGAATTGTTGCTCGGTGAGGTGCCTCAGATTCCTTGTGTGTTATGAGAAGGCAGAACCACCGATTATGGGTCTCTAAAGAGCAAAAAAAAAACCCAAAACCGGAAGGCCACCCGCAGAGCACAGACCAGGTGGGAGTGGAGGTTAGGACACTTCTCCAAGTGAGGGCCACGGAGGACCAGACATTTAACTGCTCAAAGGGTCAGTCTCTTAACTATCAAACAGGCACAAGAAAGCTTATGTCGAAGAATCCGCTGAGATGTGTAATTTCCAAAAGCTCATTCCTTTCATACTGATAAGCACATATTGTGTCCATGCTGTTTTTATCACGACCCATGAAGATGGAGCAAGAAGCTCTGGTTGTGTGGAGCTCAGGGCTGCACCCAACTTCCCTCCCCACCCCCAAGGGGTTTAAGGCTAAATTCCTGTCCTGGCCCACAGAGTGGTCCGGCCTACCCTGATTTACGGGAAGTCACACCAGCGATCAATCATCCTTAATTCGTAACTGGGCAGTGTCCTGGGCCAACCAATAGCTAAGACTAACCCCACCACCACCACTCCCTGACCCTAAGGGACTCTCCACGCAGTGTGCACCCAACTGCCTAGGGAGCCGGAGTTTGGAGCAGGTTTGGTGTTAGACCGGGGTAGGGAGGTGAGGTGGGGAGCACGAAGTGAAGAGGTCTGGGGAGAGGGCTGTCCTCACCTCTGTCCTCCCCTTCCGGGGTTTCTGCCCAGTTTAATGTCTCCACTGGAGACCTCTGTTCCCCTTCTGTTCCTCTCCCCTATCCTGTCCTCCCCTAGGACTGCTATGCTTAGTCCCCTCTGGACCCCTCCCCATTGTTTAGCTAACGCTGGACTTCCCCCACCCCAATTGAACAGATGGGTGAAGACCCAAGCCCCAGGGAGAGGAAGGGCCAGCTGGTGCCGGGAATGGGAAGCGGTTTGGGGAAAACAAAACAGAGGGAGGAGCCAGGGAGTAGGTGGCCCAGCCGGGAGGAGGAGGGAGCTCGCGGAGAGGGGCCGGGGCCTGGGACGGAAGGGGGGCGGGCCCGGGGTGGGCGCCCCCTGGGCTTCTGGGCTGGGGGCTGGGAGCTGTCTCCGACGCTGGCTGGCTCTGCAGGTCCGGCTGACGTCCAGATGGCCTCGGGGCTGACCCCACTGACCCTCCTGCTGCTGCTGCTGCTGGCTGGGGTACGTGGGCCCTGCTGGGGCGGGCGTGGGGGTGGTGGTGGAGATTAACCCTTCAGGCTCCGGGGAATGACAGTCAGTGTAATCCTGCCACCTGACTTGGTGGCATGGAGAAGGAGCCATGAGGAGACAGACAGGGCCTTGGCAGGGGGATGCGCTCACTGGCTGTTGGCCTTGAGCAAGTCACTTCTCCTGCCTACCCAGTCCTGCCTTCTAAAATGTTGAATAAATAAACCTCACTCTGTCCACCAAACAGGCTTCTCAGAAGGACCACAGAGCACTAGGAGATAGGGAGCATTTTGTGATATCAAAGCAGGAGGTTGTCATGGTTGTAGAAAATAGCCGTGTGTAGCTTTGCTCAGTGTCAGTATCGTAGCCAATGAGGCTTATCTGAGGAGTGATTATTGCTAATTCAAAACTTTTCCCAGTAACCAGCTTGATGGCTTGAAATATACTCTACATTGGCAATTTTTTTTTTTTTTTTTTAGTTAGAATCTCAAGCTGTCGCCCTGGGTAGAGTGCTATGGCATCATAGCTCACAGCAACCTCCAACTCTCAGGCTCTTGCCTCAGTTTTTCTATTTTTAGTAGAGACAGGGGTCTCTACTTTTGCTCAGGCTGGTCTTGAACTTCTGAGCTCAAGCAATCCACCCGCCTCCCAGAGTGCTAGGATTACAGGCATGAGCCACCATGCCAGCCTGTGTTGGCAAATTTTGACAATCTCTATGGAGACAGGGAAAAGGAAAGGATGCTGTGTGTGGAGTGGGGGTCTGGTGCTGGGGCCTAGGAAATGGGGAAGGGAGGAAGAATAGCACATGTGTGGGCCTGGGTGGGGGTTAACAGCCGTGGGCAGTCCCAGTTGTCTGGAGAAATAAGCCCAGAAAGTGGGGGAGCCCAAGAGAAAGGTAAATGCTTACTTTGGGGTATGTGTATGTGTTGTGTGTATGGAAGTTGGCATCCGTAGTTTCCTTTGAGATTCAGAAGATGACTAGCAAGGAGTTGGGAATCAGAGATTTGGGGTTGACTCCTAGTTTATCCTCCATTTCTGTGAGGCCGTGAGCTAGTCACTTAATATGTGTCAGCAAGACCTGGCGTGGTGGCTCACACCTATAATCCAACGCAGGTGGATCACTTGAGCTCCAGAGTTGGAGACCAGCTAAGCTAGAGTGAGACCCTGTCTCTAAAAATAGCCGGGGCTCAGCGCCAGCCACATACACCTAAAGTAGTGGGTTTGAATCCAGCCCGGGCCTGCCAAACAACAATGATGGCTGCAACCAAAAAA